CCTAGAATTCAGGAACAGTTGGGAAGCTGACCTGATTGGCTTATAGCCTCATCAGTTAGGGAAACATTAGCCAATAAAATTTGAGCTTGTACTTGTTGGAAGAACTGTTATGTTCTCTTTTAGAGCTCCCTTTTCTTTCCTTCTGCTCTTTTCAGCTCTCAACCTCTATCCAAAGGAGAAAGAACAGTATTTGCTTGTCAGGTTAGTGACGAGTGATGCTAGAACACAAGGCCAGGGGCTATAGCTGAGAACTCAGGTCTTTTAACAACAGGACCTCTAAAATTCTTTGTGCACGCTTATCAGTAAAAATGTTTAGTTCATGTCTTCAATATACAGATATTTATGGATAAGGTACGTGTTGTACAATTTTATTAATATATACCTTATAAAATATACCCTCAAATAGAAGCTTAAAAAGAATGAGCAAAAAAATACAATAGAAGTTCTATTATCATCTTTCTGTGCTCCAGTGAGGATCACTTTGGAAGCTGCTGCTTTAGAAAATGGGGAAAGAGCATAGAGATTGATCTTGGGGTCGTTTGGCTGAATGCATCTCTCTAATTCCAGTTGTTGTCTTGAAGCCTTCGTGAAGAGCGGGTTTATAAGGGCAAGGCAGGACCTGGCAATCTGTGAGAGATTGCCTCTATGTGGAAGGTTCACTGCCCTCTCTATGCTGGGATTTCTGTGTACAAGGTGCCAGGCACAGTACCAGAGGATGAAAAGGGGAGTAAGGCAAGTCTTAAATCCCCATCTCAAGAAGCTCATTTAGGCCCGACTTTGGTTCACAGTGTAGGGGAAGTTAGGCTAAAGTTGACTCGTAGACTTAGCATTGTGCCCAGGCCTGCGCTGTGGTCTCTCTCTAGTACCTCCAGTCTGCTCTGTAGTCATCTGTTGGGGGAAAAGGAGGCAGAGGAAAGGAGCTAGTTGAGGGTGTGTGTAGTAGTCAAAAGGTATTTGATGGGAAAGACAAAGGAGGCATGGTTTTATCTGAATTCTTCGTCCCCACCCCTTAATCTATATAGCCATAGATTGATTTGAGCCCTGAGAGACCACACAGGTCCCAATTTTGCTCCTTGGTGACTCAGATAGCGTCACATTGTTTTCTACCTGGTAGCTATCATATATTTGGGGCTCAAGAATACATGCAGGTGCTATGAAGCCCCAATTCTAAAATTCAGTTTGTTTTTGAACTTAATAATCAAAAGAGAAGTTGATTAATAAATTGATTTTTAAAGCAATCAAACCACTCCATAATAGAAAGAAGGTTACATATTGAGTTTACAGAGCTCAAAAGAGTAATATCATTATATGGAATTAAATTGGGATTTTAAAACAAGGCAGATGGATCAAATAAGCATGGTCATGGAATGGAAAACTAGAGGACAACTACCCTAGTGTTACACTGAAATATTTGCCCACTGTGTGCCAGGCATCGCTACCTCCAAGACTAATGCTAAGGTTTCCATGGTCTACTTGATCTCAGGCAAATACGATTTGATCTTCCACTTCCCAAATGTCAAGTAGTTATAACCCGATCTACCAGAAATTAATATTGAGATGTGAAAAAAAAAATCGAGTAGTCAGCGATTATTTAAAGGCAACATTTTTTTTTCATTCTGAAAATACTATACACTCAATTAGAAAAACATAGAAACAGTAGAAGAGTAGAAAGCAATCACCCATCTTTTCATTGCAAAAGAAAATAAATCACTAGAACATACTTTCCAGCATCATTTCCCAAAATGCAGGTGCCTTTATGTGAAGTGGATGCTGAGCCAAAGCCATTGTGGGAGGACGGATGGCTGGGCGGCTGTTGGCACGAGAGCCTGTACTGCAGGGTCAGAAATACCAGTTTCTCTGTTGAAACCGGGCTGAATGTGAGAAGGACCACAAGAGGACACCTAGGCGAATGTGGAAGCAGTTTCTTCTGATGCTATCTTGTAAAGCTGGGACAATCCTTTTGCCTAGTGGGAACACGTGCATACCTTGGGTTACGCACATGGTAGCCGGTGAACTGAGATGTAACCTGCAAGATAAGCCTGTCCCCGCCTCTGTTTGAACTTGTTCTGTCTATTCTTGTCATAAGAATAGAGCTGAATCGTGCCCCAGGTTTGCTTCTCTCTGTTTCTTGTGTTACTTTGGGGAAAGATGCAATTTAATCTGTATCCCTTCTGTGATACACAACATCAAAAGTTAGACACCACGGCCATTGGATAATTTATCTAATTGGAGAAAGCAGAAAGTAAGCGCCAAGGGAAGACTAAAACAAACCATCTGTAGTGAAAGTCCAGTGTTGTTTTTTCCCCTAATCCATTGCAGAACAATCCTTTTGTCAAATTCAATAAAACAAATTACTAGAAAAATTAAAAGGAAAAACACAAATTGAAGCCCGAATTTTAGATTCAACAGACTTAAAATTACTCTGTGGAATTGCTGTACAATTCCTAAGTGCTTTTTCTCGTTTCTGTACTTACTGTGACCCAGACTTGTACTGGACCTCAGACCACAGGTTTGAATTTTCTAGGATGTAGGGAATGGATAATTTCTGATGGACTTGCAATCTAAGATGCAAAGTATAAGCAAGTTCATCAATGGCCAAGACAAAAAAGTCCCTTTTCTCAGGGAGTGGGATAGGAATAGAAAATAAATACATACTAAAAATTGTTGGGGGCTGGCCGAGTGGCTCAGTTGGTTAAGAGCTCGTTCAAGAGTGCGAGCTCTGAGCAACAGGGTCACTGGTTTGATGCCCGGCCTGAGCTGAGCTGCTGCTGAGCTGCCAACAGGTGGCAGGATGGCTCAGCTAAAAAACAAACAAACAAAAAACACCACCACAAAAATTGTTTATAGCAATAAATAGAAAATAAAGAGTAATAAGATAGAAAATGGGGAGGGGAATGGGGCTATTTTTTATTTTATTTATTGTTAAGATTTTTTTTTGTGGGGGGGAAGGGGAACAGACAAGTTGCTGTCCTTTTGTTCTTCAGTCTAGTTGTGGAGGATGTCACTTCACTGGCCCATGTTGGTATTATCATTGCGTTCTTTCCCAGGTGACGTAGTTGCTCGCCGGCTATTGTATGGCCACTCACGGTGGCTCACGGCAGCTCATGAAAACTCACGCCCACTGCCAGCCAACCCCACTGCAGCCTACGCCGTCACCGGCAACTCATGGCAGCACAGCTCCAGGTCGAGCTGTTGTTCACCATCTTAGCTGTAGAGGGCACAGCATCACTGGCCCACATATGGGATCCAAACCGGGGCCCTGCTGCTCAGAGTTGGTGTCCCAAGCCAACTCTTAACCAACACGCCACTTGGCCGGTCCAGAGATATTTTAAATATACTAGTCCAAGTAGTCTTCCTGAGAAGTTATGTATATGCACATATCCCAAATTATAAGGAGTCAGATATTCAGAGATCTGCAGGAAGAACATTCTGGGTAGAGGACAGCAAGTGCAAAGGCCCTGGGGCAGAGGTATCTTTGACACATTCAAAGATAGCAAAGAGTTAGTGAGGCCTACAGAAAGCTGTATTGAAAGTAAGCTGATGTGGCCAAAGTCATCTTTGGGCTTCATGTCAATTGATACTGGATAAAAGAAGACTATATTAGGGAAGTGTAGATAAGGAAAATTATATTGTGGGCAGCCTAAAGGTGAAACTGTGGGAACAGGTGAGTTGGGTTGCAAGTGGGAAATGTGCAGAACCCAGGAAAATCAGGACTATCATCCATGACTTAGCCCAGAGTCCCACTGTGGAGAGGAGGGCAAAAGAGTCCTGTTTCTTTATGGAAAAGATGCTAGATGAGGAGCCTGGGAGAGATGGGCTTTGGCGAGAGGGGCCTGGCCTCATGGACAGGCAACAAGGACGGCTTTGAAGCGAGTATTGGAGAGAGTTTTCAGCAGCAGTTGGTACCTGAATCAGGGGCCTAGAGACAACCTGTGGGTGGATTTGTCACATTTAACTCAACAAGCACTCTGAAATCAACTTGCCATCCATACATACCACTTTGGGATTTCAACCTACAGTGCAGCACATTCATGTTTGAACAACTGACTTCCTGCACGTTGAAAAGAAGGCCTTCAAATGTTAAGTGTTTTAGGGCCCAAACCGGCAGCCCTGCTGCTCAGAGCTCAAGCTCGCAAGCCAACTCTTAACCAACTGAGCCACTTGGTCAGCCCCATATACTCACAAACTTTTAGAGCAGAAAGGACACAAATGTAATTTTTTTTTAAAGGGAATTATGGATCCATTTTCTCTCTTTTTTTTTTAAAGATTTTTTTATTGGGGAATTGGGGGATGGGAACAGCACTGGGGAATTGGGAACAGACAGTTGCTGTTCTTTTGTTCTTCAGCCTAGTTGTGGAGGATGTTTGCTTCACTGGCCCAAGTTGGCACCATCATTGTGTTCTTCCCCGTGTGAGGCAGATCAGTCGCCGGCTTCTGGACGGCCATTCACAGTGGCTGCTGGCCGCTCACGCTGGCTGCTGGCTACACACAGTAGCCCATGGCAACCCACTGCAGCAGGGGCTGCAGCCTACGCTGCTGCCAGCGACTCACGGCAGCCCAGCTCCAGGTCGAGCTGTTGTTCAGCATCTTAGCTGTGGATGTCACTGGCCCTCATACGTGGGATCCGAACTGAGGCCCTCTGGCGTCCCCAGCCAGCTTTTAACCAACGCGCCACTCGGCTGGCCCCCACACATGTAATTTTGACCTTTCACTGCTTGAACAGAAAAGGACATGGAGGTGCTATAAGTCGTCCAAGGTCATACAGGTAGTTAAGAGCAGAGCCGGGACGGACTGGAGCTGGGACTAGTCTAATGATCTTTAGTTCACGGACTCTCTACTTTTATTATGTAACTCCTTAATCTTCGAGTATTTCAAGTTCTGAAACCATGTTATAAAAGCATATTTTCTTCTAATATTACATTTTGGAGGTAGATAATATTTCAGTCACTAATGGGAACTGAGAAATATCTTGCATTTGATATGTTTTGTTTTTGGCATAGGTTTTCCTAGGACATTAGTTCAGGCTGAAGCCCTGGACAGAATCTGTGACCTGGATCTAGTGATCACTTTGAACATTCCATTTGAAACGCTCAAAGATCGCCTCAGCCGACGTTGGATCCACCCTCCTAGCGGGAGGGTGTATAACCTGGACTTCAATCCGCCTCACGTACATGTAAGAATGCACAACATACTCTGACTAGAATGTACAACAAACTGACTAAGAAGAGGTAAAACGTTTCCATTGAAAAGTGGGTAAAAGAGATGAAGAGTGTTCAAACAACAAACATACATAGCCAACAAATATTTAAAATTCTCATTCACTAGTAGTCAAGGAATGAAAATTAAAGTTTATAACATTAATTGCTGGTTGGGATCTGGGAAAAACGGTACTCTCATCTTTATTAAGTATATGAAATATTAACAGTATTTTTAAAAAGCAACCTAGCAACAAACATTAAGGATGCCTTCCTAGCTCCAGGTGCCACAGGTTCAGTTACATTTCAATATTTTGTTCATTTGGGCTGAGCGCTAGTCTCCTTTTGAAGACTTCTTTTTAAAATGTAAGTAGTTGTTGAGTTCCTTTATTAGATCTCTTTCTCCTTTCCCATCCCAAGAAGCTAGTACAGGAAAAAAAAAATTGATAGGGAGGAAAAGGGAATTCTGAAGGTGTGCTGAAGTCCAGCACAAATGCTTCACATTTTGGCTCTGCCTAGACCTGCTTTTGCAAAGATTCTCGTAAAGTTTGAGAAGCGTTAACACTGACTTGCTTTCCAAAGACTGGGGCTTCCTAAAAAGAACACCTGCAGCTATAATGTTACTTACGCTACTTATTATACAAAGGCAGCAGTGAAAGTGCCACCTGGGCCAACTCAACCAGCCACGGTGGCCCAGCTCCCCTCGAAGGACGATGCTGTTGCCCTCGTATTGTTCTGCTCTTTCTGGAAGCAGTTGTATTTGCAGGTACTCTGAAGTTCTGGAGATGACTTCTGAGCTTTGCAGCCATAAGTAAAATAAAGGAGGGGAGTGGGTGATGTATAGCCTCTCCCATCCCCATCTCTTCTGTTATGTAAGGGTAACAGCCATGGAATTCACATGTGATCATTGTGTGGCTCACTAATAAATCCTAAGTGTAAGTTATGTACCCAAGGCCCTGAGCTATAATGGAATTATAGTAGTGCTTTTCAAATTTATAGCCAGTTTCTGATTGAGTTGCCTGAGACTTTGGTTCTGCTCTAGCCTGCCTTTTGACAGATTTATTTCTTTTGACTGTCTCCCCTGATGGGTAATAACAATGGACATGAGAGGCAAAATTCTGTTGAGTCCAATTTGCTCTTTTTAAGTATGGTTCCTGAGGAGGTTAAAATACATTGAAAAATCAGGTGCTTTTTTTTTTTATTGCAGTTTTTCAGTTCTCAAATTGTTCCTGATTATCATGTATATACAATTCATGCCAATTTTAATCCACCTTTAAATAACTCATTATTTGATTTAGCAAAATAACCTGAGTAAGATTAATCTCAGGAAAGCTACATGATAGAATTTGAAAGTTAGCAGAGACGGGACTAAAATACCTCCTCCTAGATTAGTGTTTCTCCTAAGTAAACCAGTTGGTTCTTCGAGACATTTTATAGTCTATATTAAGAACTCAGGCTTTAGAAAGAAAGTCAGTTTTAGGACTATTTAGAGGGCCAGAGTGACATTGTCTAAAGGTTGCTTGTTGTTGGGGGAGGCTCCCTGGAAATTGAAGCTCTGAGTTGAAGGTATCATTTATCAACAGCCATGGAACATGTTTGGAAAGACCTGAGAAGTTAATAAAGGTTTAATGTCCGCTCTCATGAAAAAAGGTTAACATGCTTTGAAGAGTGCTATTTCTTTTTCAAGTACCTTCACGATAGCCATTAGTCACCCAGGCCTCACTCATTACGTGGTAGGAATCCAAGGTGAATACATGGTTTTGCACAGGAAAGTTTGTACCTGTGGAGCGGCCCAACTGTTGCCCATATTAACTGGTTTCTCTGGGATTTGTAGGGGATTGATGACGTCACTGGTGAGCCATTAGTCCAGCAGGAAGACGATAAACCTGAAGCAGTTGCTGCCAGGCTACGACAGTACAAGGATGTAGCCAAGCCAGTCATTGAGCTATACAAGTGAGTGTGCTTCAGTGTTTTCATGGCAGACAGCCCACAAGGAAGGTGTGGAGCCTAGTGGGAAGGACCTTGGGCAGAGGTGGGGTAGTGTTTCTTTCAGCTAGATAAGCCCAAAGGCCCAGCACATCCCCAGAAGTCAGATGAAATGCTCCAGTTGTTTGTAGGTGATAACACCCAGTACTTTCATGCTAAAACCGTATAAGCCCTGAAACCGGATTGTCTCTGTTTGGTTGTAAATTATACCTAGACTTACTTTCATTTTGCCTTTTAAGTGGACAAAATAATTGTTTACATTTTGATACTCCCACATGTCTTATTTGCGTAGTAGATTAGAAGGGACTTTTTGGCCTACATGTGTCTAGAAGGAGTTTAACAAAAGCTGAAACTGTAAGCTGCAGGTTGCAAATTCAAATGGCTGCAAGGACCAGGCAGGGGTTGCAAATGAGCTCTTTTGCTGCTGCAGCCGATTATCAGCACAGGGGCACTCAGGTCAATGTGACCAGTGATCTCTGTGTTTCAAGAGAAGCAGAAATCTGGCTCTCTATGCAGAAGAAAAAAAAAAATCCCAATTTTTATATTGGCAACAAGTTAAAAAACTTTTAGCAGCATGCAAGCCAAACAAAACCCACATGCAGACGGCACTCAGGATGGCAGTTTGCAGCCTGTGCTATAAACCACTTCCTGACCTTGTAGCCCTCAAATAGTTTAGCAAGCCTTTAAATCTGGTTCCTAATCAGATTATTATGATTCATCCTGTATTTCATGATCATCGCAAGTAATAAAGGTTTTACAGTACCAAATTTTGTCAATGATTTGCTTTTCAATAGGGTGGATTGTTCCCCAAGAGTGATGTTGAAGAAAAGGTGGCATCATGATAAGCATGCCAGAGTGGCAAAAGCTATGGCTTATTTAGATATCCCCAATGGGGAGAGGGTGTTAATACATTTGAAGGGGCTGTTTGGCACTTAGCATTGTGTGATATAGACCATGAGATGGTGCTTACATTATATGCAGGATCTTCCTCTGCCCTAATATTATATTAAAAGGAAACCTAAAATGCCTTTTGTGTTGGACTTTGTTTTTCAGGAGCCGAGGAGTGCTCCACCAATTTTCTGGAACGGAGACTAACAAAATCTGGCCCTATGTTTACACGCTTTTATCGAACAAGATCACACCTATTCAGTCCAAAGAAGCATACTGAGCCCGCCCAGTGGAAGAACTAGGATGGTGTGATCATTCTCTCAATTGTATGTGTAGCACTGGTGCCGTGCGCCAATTAGAAGCTAGCTAAGATAGCTTGCAGCATCTTTTCTAGTTTAAATGGTAAAATGATATGAAAACTAATGAGTAGAAAGAGTGGATAAAGAGGCTCATCTCTGCCTTTCAAAAGAAGGGTCACTTACACATGTTTAAGATGTCTCTGCACATGTCTCAAGCCCTTCACAAGAAAGCAAGCACAGGCTGGACTTAAAACGGTGTATAGCCCAAACTCTAGCTGATTTTTGACAGTCCTGTTGTTGCCATAGTAGCCTTTTGACACATGATGGTGGTGGTCTCTGGTTCTCTCCATCCCCTGAAGGCTGTTGAACCATAGCACCAGTAGGCCTGAGAATGCCAAGGGCTGTGCCTGGGCTTTGTCCCACGTTCTCTGGGATGTGTCCCCCGGGTGACAACAGGATTGAAGCCAGTTGCTCCCAGTGGTTGCTTCTCTGACTTTGACTGTGACCACAGTTCATTTTTCCCTGTTTGGAGCGACATCTTCTTTTCTGCAAACACGTTCTATAGAATCTCCTTTTCAGACATCCTGGCATGAACGGATTTGGCTTCTGTGATTTTTATTAAACTGTATTTTTTGACATCTGTTTTCTCCCTTTCCTAGGCTATTAAGTAATACAGATAGTTATTGCTTTTGTCCCTCTGAAATGCCTTTCTAAGAGCTGAGAGCTAGGGGACAATGTCAAATTCCTTCCTGCACCAGGAACTGAGCTATGTGGAGGGTCTACTCTCATGGGTGGACACCGCTCCTTTCTTTTATTGTGGGAAAAAAAATCCTCAGAGTCTTTGGGAACGTCTCAAAAAAAAAAAGAAAGAAAGAAAGAAAGAAATATTCATCTACATAAGTGTTAAAAGATAATATCTTATGTATAGATTGAAGAAAACCATATGGAATTACTGGACTAAAAGAATAGCTTTTTATTCAAGACAGAAAAAATGTATTTTGAAAGTGCTGCTAAATGTTGATGCTGACAGTGTTTTTCTCCTGTGAGTGACCCAAGCATATTATAAGTAGTTGTTGGTGAAGGGCACGGAGCATGGGAGGTTGAGGGAACATGTTGCACTAGTTGTGCCTAGACTAAGTATGACAGCTTTACAATTGTGAGAAAACAAAATCTTCATTTTTTTTTCACTCTTCCAAAGATTCTTTCTATAGGGTGGCCATTAAGTCTAGAAATATGGATAATACTATGTTGTCACATTGTAATGTAATATCAATAAAGCATCTATTAAGGATTTGCTTGGTTTCCAGACTTGGCGGCCACCTTGTATAATTCTTGCTCTTCTCTGGGAAGGACAATGAAATTTATTCCTGTTGCCTTAAAAATGAACATCCCTCTTCATGCATCATGATGATCTCCAGGAAGGGCCCTTTACGATTCCTGGGAGTGACTAGCATGTAATCATCGCCTTTGGAAGTTTTGGGGAGAGGTAGAGGAAACGGGAAATGGTCTGACCCCTGGTTCCATACGCCCTCTCCTCCTCCATCCTTCCCTCCTTCCTCCCTTCCAGCAAAATAGACCGTTACAGCAGCGTCAGGGGCCCTCAGTATGTCTCAGCCACGTTTGCTGTTTCTGAGCTCGCCCATGCTGAGAGGCCTTTCCTAGGTGATACCAATTCCAGACCTTTCCTGTGGTCTTTGAAAGACGATGCTTGTTTCATGCTCCGTGGCCTAAAAAAAAACCAAATGATTTCTGATTTTTTTCAATAAACTCTAATGTTTCCCTCAATGGTGTTGTAAAAAATTAAAGTTTTCTGGAAAATATTTTGACACATGTAAAATTCAAGGGGCAGCTTTTCTTGGTTTTCCTTCTGCTGCCACATACATGGTTTCTTCACTGGTACACAGAAAGAAGAGTTTGGATGGTCTCTAACTCTTGGTTTGGATGGTACCTGTCCTCACATGTGAGATTCCACCCAGCTCTGAATTCACTTTGCTTTCCATTCTTCTGACAGCCTTCCCCCTTAGAACTTGAAAACGTTGCTGTGTTAATACCCTTTAACACTAAGGCAAACACAAAATAGGTACCCTTTATCGGAGGCCTACATAGTGATATGTGCAGTTTTAGGACCTTTATAAACATCTCATTTCATCTTTCAAGCGTTCCATGAGATAGGCGTGACCCCACGTGTATAAAGCGAGAAGCCGGGTCAGAGATGGGCAGTGTCTCACCCCAGGCTCCTGATGCCAGTAAGCCACACCAGGTTTTCCTGACTGCAGCCTGAGCTCGCCCTTGAATGTTGACCACCTGTGTCTTGTCCCAGGCAACCCAGGGCGTGGGCCCACATGGTTTTCCTTATATTTATGTGTGGCCTCTCATTAAAAATAGCAGAGTTCCCTATGGTGACATTCAGCTGCGGAGGAGACTGTTTTTTGTTTGTTTGTTTTTTTGTGTTTTTTTTCCCCCTTTGCTTAAGCAAAGGAAGCTGCTAGAGGAAAGTCTGAGCCCTTGATCCTCCTCCATGACTACTTGTTTATAAATAAAATAAAAGGCTGTTAAAGTAGGCTGGCATAGGTCTGGGCTCATCTGTGGAGGAGGCGAGCTTATGTGCCTCACCTACCCTTTGGGGTCTGTGTTTTTGTGCCCCTCAAGAGACCTTTACCCTTGAGCCACACTCAGCCGTGGTGCTCACACATAGGTCTGGGCTCCTGGGAGCTATCCAGATACTACTCACCTTTTTTCCCCTGAGATCAGAACACATCAGTCCCTTGCTCCCACCCCCAAACAAGGCCCTGATATTAAACTGATTCTGCCTAAGGTTCTAGCAGGTGAATTCTCAATGCGATTGAGCACCTAACACAGGGTAACCTTTGACGTTTCCCATCTCCCTTTATTATATTCCACATTAACATGATATTCTGAATGCCAAATTCACAGCTTTGCCCGCCATCTGATGTGGTGGCACTGCTTGTCAAGCACGGTTCTGTCAAGACAGGGGGGAGATTGGTTCCCTCTCTTATCCTCCTTCCCCAGGGTCACTCCCCATCACCCTCCAGTGGCCAAGCTCAGACAAGCTCCAGCTCCACCCAGGGTCCCCCCCCCCGCTTTGGTAGGGAAGGGAAAAGGTAAGAAAAACCATGGGAGAGGCACTGCTGTGGCTTTTCCTGCCACTCAAAATGTTGTTGAGATGTGATAATATTAGACAGAAAGATGCCTGTGCAAACCCATAAATAGGGCTTTTATAAAAAGTAGTTCACTGGCACCTGAGCTCAATATTTGACTTTAGCTGTTTGTCTGAACAGTTTACCAGCCTGCTGGGGGGTGAGGGTGGGGGGAGTGTGTCTTTGCTCAAATCATACAGACTACAAGTTTCCAAATGTGTTACGGTAAAGGCTTTCTTAGTTACTGTTTATTGGAACTTCATGCTAAGTGCGTTACATGCATTGTCTAAATCTTGAACAATTACTCTAGGTAACAGACATTACTTCACTTATCTTGCCTCCTTGTATTTAAACACTGAAATAATTCTGCTCATGTGAACTTGTGTTTTCATGTACCCATAGGGATTAATTAGGAAATTCAAAAAGGCATGTTTGGTACCTTTCTTTAGTTTGACTCTCTGTGCTCATTAACAGGTAAAACAATGTCCATATTTGCTCCCACCTGGAATCTTTGCTTTTGGCGCTCTGATGCTGAGACAGGAAATGGGCACTCAGTGGGTCCTGGTGGTAGGTACACACTGTACATACAGAGGGCATATGTCTCATCTGTACTCTGCTCGGTTACAGGATCTCGGGAAGCAGCTGTATCTACCTGATGAATTTCATTTATTACCTTTCATTTAGCAGACAATACGTTTTCTCACCACAGTTAATTTTGCCAGAGAGACAATTCATAAGGCAGAGTCATGTTCACAGTATGAATTGCTTTCTGTCTATTCCCCTCCATTTTTAGTAACTCCTCAGTCTATTTGGTGTCTCAAAAGAAGAACCCAGGAATGGAGACTTCTTTTAACATGGGAATGTGACCTGGTCATGTGGTCAGTTATCATCCCTCTCCGTACATAACTGACCCAGTCTGGTTTCCAGACGAGAAGTGTGCAAGACTCAGATGTCAGGAAACCATGAAGCCATATTGCAACCACGAAGAAAAATCTGCTTCCTGCATCTGTTGAGATGTGGTATAATTATAATTGTTTATAAATGCCATACCTTATCTTTCTTTTAACAAATTGCACAATTCTTGCCAAAATAAATGCCATTATCTGTCTGCTTCAGGGAATTCCCTAATTTGATTAGTGTGTGTGTAAGAGAGAGAAAAAGAGATAGAGACAGTGAAACATTTCCAAAAGGGAGAAAGCTCTTGTATGGCACAGATCTTCCTTCCTTCCCTGGTGATCATCAGGCTATTCCGGGAAATAAAGTGCCATTCTTGAAAGAAAAGATTTCCTGTTTAAAACTGTGCAAAGGAGCAGTACGCCTAGAAGATTCTCCCTGGGGCTAGTGTGTGTCCAACTCCATTTCGTTAAACCTTTATTTTCTTCGCTTTAAAACTTTGGCTACAAATCAAAAATGTACTAAACAAAAACTGATTTCTATTTAATTTAGAGAAGAGCATAGGGAAGAAAAATGAAAATTCAGTCTTTATGTAAGCTCTAAGGTGTCAGGGCTTAGAGGGCTTTTCTAGTTTTATGAGAATTTGTACTACTGATTTTTATATATTGTTTTTGAGATGAACAGCTCTCTGGGGAAATTGTTGAGTTACAATGGCATTTCACTGTGATTCCTGTCAAGCTCAAAGCTATTCTCTAGCCTAATGACGACTTGTCTCTTTGGTTTACTGTCCTGTGAAATGTCAGTCCGACTTGCCCAGAAGCTGTGTGTTTACGATGAGTCAGTGCTTTTTCTCAGCGTGAAAGTTGTCAGCCCTCTTGATTTTGGGTGTATGTGCTTATTAATTCAAAGTATCTAAACCTCACTGTACATGCCCTCCTAACTGTTAACTGTGTTATTGATATTTTGATTATCTTGCTTGAAGATGATTCATACTTTTTAATTTGATAGAAATAAAGTTTTTTTTCTGCTTCTCACTAGTGAATTCATTTGACATTTGTGCAGCATTTTACACTTGACAATATACATCTTCGCAGATATTCTTATTTGTGCCGCTTTGCAACCACCAACAGTGTTATCTCCAATTTACAGATGAGGAAAATAGAGAACACGGTGTTGCCTGGATAAGGTGACAGTTGGTGGCAGAGCAAGAACCAAGGATTATGACCCCCAGTCTTGTTTTCTTTTCTACTACTCCACGTTGTCTCATTTTGTATACCCTGAAGCAGCTTATTTGTTCAGCACTTGATTCTTCACATATTTCCATGCAAATTCTTTAATTTTATTTGTGAAACAGCTGGATGATGTGAGCATACATCCTACAGATTAGGAGACTGGGTCAGAGGATGTGACTCGAATGTCCTAGCATCCAGGACTACGCAGCAGAAGCAGAAACCCTAGCAGCCCATGAAGGAAACAGCCTCTGCAGGAGAGGCCCCTTGTGATACGGACAGGAGCAAATGCTCTGGCTTCTCGCAACTTCACATTCTCCCATCTCCTGCGTGGGCTTTCCATTAGCTGAATCCAGCCAGAAGCCAGCGGACAATGGAGCTTGAGAAACATGTCCTACAGGTTTCCATGCCCGTAGAAAGGTGAGCTGGGTATGTTGGCAATGTGGTAAATTATATTAAAGTTCAAGTCTTTTAGAAGGATTTTGCATCTCTGCCCCATTGGCTTCATGCTGGGGCATGTGATTTGCTTTAGCCAATGAAGTGTGAGAAGAAATGAAGTCTGCCGTTGCTGAGCAGAAGCCTTGGGAGCCAGAACATGGGCACCAGCCTCTCCCGCTGCAATGAGACTGTTCTCACGGGGCTTTTCTTTTAACCTGGATCCTAAAGTGAAGAAGGGATGTAGCCAATCTACAATGGAGGAATAGTGTGCATGAAGAAAACCTTTGCTTTTATAAGCCACTGAGATTTGGTTGAGTTTGATACCATGGTATAATTTAGCCCAAGCTGCCTGATAGAAATGGGCCTAGTATAGCCTGTCATCCAGTTATAATTTTGATTCTTTTATCAAGCACTGTTAGACTCTGGGGATGGAACGATGAGTAAGACCGGTTTTTGCTATTCACTGCCTCACAGTCTCCTGGAGGGGATGGAAAGATGATTACATAACTGTTGGAATTAATCACTAGATTGTGCTTGAGAGATCACAGAGGGAATGACCCTTGTCTGACCAAGTAGAGACCAAGAAAGAGCTGAGCTGAGTGATACAAGAAAAAGGGAACCCAAGCAGAGGGAACGCTATGTGTATGCCAGGGGGAGGCCAGAGCGGTGTGAGGCAGGACTGGGGAGATCAGAGAGAGTCGTATGGACCCGGTCTTACCTGTACTCACAGTAGACAGTACGGACTCGGCCAGAAAGTGACTCACAGATTTGCCTGATGTAATTGTACTACAGGTCTGGACTAAGATGTGGTAGTCGAGTTCAACAAAAAGGGATGGCTGGAACAGGAGTGAAAACAAGTTAAATCCTTCCAGGGCTGAAGTCAGGAACAAAAATGAGTGAAATGAGGGCGAGCGTGAGGCGGTAGGAAGGAGCAGGGGCTCAGAGGACCTGGAGCGCACCGCTCTTTCTGAAAGAGGGGACCCTGCTCAGCTCGGGACGATTGTTACCGCCTTAGGAATGCTGCCCAGTGCTGCCCAGGCATTCCATTTAAGAGAAATCAGAAACC